GTATTCTCGTAGCTTCGTAAAATGACGGTTGAACCCCTGATGTCACATGGATTATTTTACTGATCTCCTTGCTATGTTTCTGGACCTTGATCGTGGTAATTACATTGCTGTCTATGGGAGGGTCAGAGAGCTCTCAGAATTCGTCAAAAATATCTTAATTTGTGTTCCGAAGATGAACGGAGGTCTTACGGATTTAGAACGGCATGAGGGTGAGTAATTAAAGTCCCCCTGTAGTGAAAATCAAGTTTTTTATGTTTGTTTGTCTATGTGGTGTTTTTAATATACTTTTAGACAAACCATGTGCCAATCTATTAATCAACACCATTGCGGAGTATTTTCTCCTTAAAACTGTAGTTTCCCAAAGGCTGACCCAGAAATACGGTTTGAAACAGCCCCCGGTTTGCTACGTCACAAACCAATAACCAATCACGTCAAGGGATCGATTCCTATCACTAGCATGCAAAATATACCAATACCAGCACAAAACCAAAAATAAATGAAAGCAAAAAACCCATGAAGCTGTGGTTTAATGTGAATTTAGAACCGCTAACTTGCATTATAACCTGTGGCAACAGTGTAAAAGTAGCCCGGAGTCACACCCGCATCGTCATCTGCACTTCACACGCGTATGCTCGCGGGCGCAAATTAAGAATCACAAACGGCTGTATTCGAGTCTTCAAGGCATTTTAGGACAAAACATCGTCAAGTAAGTAACTTTAACGAATGTTACAGTATTCACTCTAGTTGTCCGCTAGTAAAAACATAGTTTTATCAGTCATTATCCGTGTATGCCATTGTTTTGCGTTTACTACAGTTCAGTGGATCAGGAGGCGCTGGCTGGTGTGACTGAGTGGAGGCGGGACTAATTTGCATTTCATAGATCCGAGGATAGTAAATGAGGCAAGGGTGTAGAGTTGCATTCAAGCTATTCTAAGGCATGAGAAAATTTTCACAAGAAAAAACATTTAAATGTCATTTTGATCAAAGGTAAGTTTTAAGGGATAAAATATTTGACTACAGGGGGATTTTAATGACAGAATTTAAATTTTTGGGTGAACTAACCCTTGAACAATGCATATTAAAGTAGTGTTCATAAGCGCAGCGCTGCTTTGTTTACAGCGATAACCCAGGAAACACTGTATCATTGCTGTTCATAAGCACCACCTGCTGTCAGAGAGTGAATCTGCATCTCATTCAGTTCGTCTGCGGTTTCGTTCAGATATGTTTAATGTTGTATAGTTTTACAAAACTAAAGCCAGACCATTCTGTTTTTGCTTCAAATTTCGAAATTATACAGTCTAATTTAGATTAAAAACTACTCGTGCTGCATGTATACTGCATCTGTGTTTGGCTCATGATTCAAATCCAGTGGTTGCCTCTAATTTTAAATGAAAAGAGCTCAGACAAAGCCTTAGTTTGTTCATATTGAGATTTCTTTTATTTGTGTAGCTTACTTGTTTGGTTTGGGATTTGTTTTAAAATTTCAATTTAGTTTAAACGTGCAGCAATAGCCTAATTAAACGACACCTTTTCATTTACTGTATAATGTCTTCAATCTCATTTTGTAAAAAAAATCATGAGAAAATCGAATCGTGAAATCAAAATCGTGAATCGAATCATGAGTTGAGTGAATTGTTACATCCCTAGTTTATACTTTTATAGAATTGCAAGAAATTTCACCTTCATCTTCCTCATGTGATTCTTTGCAGGATCTCCTTAACGAAGCAGGACAACGGCTGGCCGACATTGCCAAAAACCCAATTGAGTACTCAACACTGCTGGAAGGGTTGGTGTTACAGGTCAGCTGATTTCTGTTTTAATCAAATGCTGTTCTTTTAAACTTTTTATTCATCAAAGAATCCTGAAAAAATGATCACGGGTTCCAAAAAATATTAAGCAGCACAACTTTTTCAGACATTGATAATAAATCAGCATATTAGAATGATTTCTGAAAGATCATGTGACACTGAAGACTGGAGTAATGACTGATGAAAAATCAGCTTGGCCACCACAGAAATAAATTATATTTTAAAGTATATTCAAATAGAAAACATCAATATACAAGCAGTTTCACAATATTACAGGTTTTTAAAAATGTATTATTTTTATAATTATTAACTATTTTATTACTGTTTATTTTTGCCTCGGCAGGGATTTTATCAGCTGCTGGAGCCCAAGGTTATAATTCGGTGCAGGAAGGAAGATGTAGCGATGGTGCAGGTGAGCTCTATTCACCATCAACGTACGTATCAACTATACAAACCCTTTACATTTTTAAAGAGGTTGATATACCTGTTCATTATAGGCTGCTGTTAAGAAAAACATCCCCATCTACAAAGAGACAGTAAAGCGTAATATTGAAGTGCGCATCGATGAGAATAGCTTCCTGTCCTCTAACATGTGAGATCACTTATACACTCAGTTTTGTTAGAAAAGGCTTGTTTATAGATAATTAGATATGTTAATTTTTCATGCTTGGCATCCTCAGCTCAGGAGGTGTTGAAGCCTATAACGCTGATGGCAAAATCAAAGTGTCCAACACACTGGAGAGCAGACTGGACCTTCTATCGCAACAGGTAGAGAATCCAATCACATTGTAGAACAGGAGGAAACAGGATACAAGCTGTTTTTTGGGGGGGATATTTGTTGTATTCAGGTCCTCATATTCTTTGCTTTTTTGCTTTCACAGATGATGCCTGAGATCAGAGTGCAGCTGTTTGGTGCTAATCAAAACCGCAAGTTTATGGACTAATGGTCTGTTACTAAATATGCTTCAGTGGTAGTTGGGAGAACGGTGAAATTCAAAAGCCCTGATAAAGTGATGACGGGGTTTGATGGGAAGGTCTTTTTTTTTTTAAGGTCACTTTGTGGATTTTCAAAAATTTCTGTTACGATTCATTTGATCATGTTTCAGGAATGAATTGCTCTCGAGCGTTTTTGCTGTTTCTCTTGAAAAAACATGCCAAAGAAATGAAAGGCTTATCATTTGTGCTTATGTTACCTTATACCTCTCCTTTGAGTGTTTTAGTGCTTTGTTTGAAAATCATGTCATCTGTAGGGAAAGTGGACACCTGAAATCTTATCTCAGCCTGTCTGAACAAAGAGCTTTAAGCACTCAGGAATTTATATTGTTATTGCCTTAAATGTTGTTAGCTAAGCTAGCATCTTAACCCTCATTCGATGTCTCATGGATGCCTCTGTGCTTGTCTATGTGTTTTCATTTGTAGTACAACTGCATTATACTACAGTGAAATAAATCAAATAATGTTTATTTATATTTTAAAGCATTTCTGTGCTCATTACAATATAAACAAAACATTGCTTGGTTGGTTACATCACATCAGAAATCTGACAAAGGCTTAAAGATGCTACATATACCTCAAACATTAAAAACATGCTGCCCTCTTGTGGAATTCAAATATATGAGATGCAAATTAGCATCAGTTGTGGTCCACAAACAATGTTTTGCATAATCAAATGACTCCAGACCATGTTTTCAAAAAACTTTAACATACAAAAGCTCTTCAGTGAGCAGATTTAATAAGCAGAGATCAGTCTTCTATCAGATATCAGTCTTGAATATTTAAATGTACAGATTGCTTGTTGCTTATTACAATTATTTAGTATAATATATGAATATGAAGCCTCTGAGAAATTATTTCTCAATAATCAAGTCTTGTCTTCCAGGAATATGCCACTATATACTTTAAAAAAAAAATCGAATTCTTGGTATTATTAAAACTGTATTTAAAATATATATATATATATTTTTAAAAAGTACACTAAAAATTTAACTATTCAAGATCTCATTTCTCTATTTTTCACTGTACCCTTTTCTACCAAATGTGGAAAATAAAAAATCAGCACAATCATTTTTCTACATAAGAATAAACTATATATATATATATTATATAACTTGAGTGGCAAGGATAAGGCTTTGTTGCATTTTAATTTATTGTGCACTCAACAAAATCATTTAAAGCATTAAAAAATATTAAGCCAACATTATATAGCCTACAAGGAATTTTGTCCCGTAGAGGAACATGTAACAGGTGGACAAGGCATCCGCTGCGAAGTCCAGTAGTCTCTTCACATGTAGAGACTGAGATTTACTGAGAGAAGAGAATTAAAGCAGCAGCCAGATTAGGTCAGCAGACACTAAACCCAGTTTCTGCTTACTTTTTGCTGTTTAAAGGGGTGGTAATCAGCAGCAGAGAGCCAAAACATGAATTTAGAAGATACAGATCCATCTCAACTTTGATTCAAGTCTGCTTTCTATGGAAGCCTGTTTCTGCCACAGCATAAAAAAATGTAAAAGGTAACTGCAACTTTTTCTCACAATTCAGACTTTTTTTTTCTTGCAATTCTAAGATATAAACTCAGAATTGTGAGATAAAGAAGCCTTTTTATTTTTTCATTTGGTGGTGGAGAAAAAAAAATGTGAACTCCGAATTCAGAGAAAAAAAATCCCAATTGTTCTTGGGGAAAAAAAGTCAAAATTGTGAAACGTACACTAAGAAATGTGGGATGTAAACATTCAATTGTGAGAAAAACAGTCACTATTATCTTGTTTATTTTTCCATTTGGTGGCGGACACAAAAAACACTTGTGAGATGTAAACTCAGAATTCAGAGTAAAAAGTCAGAACTGCGAGATATAAACTCAGAACTGTGAGATAAACACACAATTACCTTTTTTATTTTTTCATTTGGTGGCGGGAACAAAATAAAAGTAAATTGTGAGATGTAAACTCAGATTTCTGAGCACAAATCAGATTTTGTCTTTCTTAGAATTGCGAGGAAAAAAAGTATTATCATATCGCAATTATCATAATTTTTTATTTCTTGGTGAAAATGGGCTTCCATACCTTTCTGTAACTTAAATACACATCGACCCTGTTCACAACCGATAAATCAATTATCACGAATCATGTTGGTTTAAAACTAATTGTAACTATGGGTTTTAAAGGCATAAAAACAATATTAATTGGACAAAAAACTGTGGACAAAAAAACCCTGCCAGATTAGTCAGAACAGGACCCTGTCTTACCTACAGAACCCTGTTTGTAGTTTTTAGGTACTTAAACACAGTTAGTGTACAATATAGGCCTTTATATTAGCGTTACACAAGCCTCCGCTGTTTTCACAAAGTGTCTGAACCTCCTTTGGTTGGGTATGTGAATTTCTCTCCATATTTATCTCATCACAAATAAAAAACCTTCTTTTTTTTCATCACCACATCTTCCTTCATCGCTCATCTTCATCCCTTGGCCTACGTAGAAACAGTACTGTGTGTATGATGACTGAGGTAACGTCACCTGCAAGCTATCCCAGCAGCCCCAGCACGTGCTCGCCGATGCCCAGGAAATATACACCCTGAGCGATGCCGAAGAGTGGAGCGATGACTAAAGCTCGACATGTTGCTCCTTTAAGAAACGCGGCTGGTCCTTCTCGTTTTAAAATGCGTCTGTGGATAAAAAAAAGGAGTGACTGCCATACAAACACTAAGATACATGAATATGGTCATTTTTATATTATCATATAACACACAGTAAAAGTCAATACATGGAAATATAAAGCTTACTGTGCGCAGTCAATGATGCCTCTATAGGAGTCCTCTCCTTCTCCCTTCTGCAAGGTCTGTAGGCGAGTCTTTATAACTGAAAATGACAAATATTAATAGATACATTAATTTATATATTTTTTAGCATAAGGTGTAGATTCAGCCTGTCTTGGTTCTAATTTTAACTTCTCAGATCTGGTTTCCCAAACGCAGGTTATAACAGAGTTAAGTTCAGCAGTTAGTCTGACTAATTTCCATGATTTGGTTCTTTCAAACAGCTCATTTTTAAAGACCTTAAAAACCTTTGGACTTGGACTTTCTTTCTTCTGCTGAACACAAGTTGACAGCCATTGACTTCTATATTAATGAAGAAAAAAAATGCTATGGAAGTCAGTGGCTACCACCAACTGTTGAAAATATCTTCCTTTGTGTTCAACAGAAGAAAGAAAATTTTAGAACAACTTGAAGGGGAGTAAATGATGACAGAAATTTCATTTTTGGGTGACCTATCCCTTTAAGGCATCACGTTGACATATGTTCCCTCACATACTACATTCTCTAAAGCAATATACTATTTATTTAATTTTAAGGTATTATTTTCAGTGCTCATTGTTTAAATATGCATTTTTTATATGAAAAAAGAAAATCATTCTTTGAAACATTACATTAAAGCCACATGTAGCTAATCTCATTTCAGTTTTATTAAGAAAGGTATTTATTATAATTTAATGCGTCGCAATTCCGTTTGTTGCAGCTTGATCCACTTCATAACATTACAAATATAAGTCTAAATCTAAATATAAGTCTACATTGAACAATACTAATCAATTCATATATACTCATTTTACACTTAAATAATTAAACAATATTTTAATGAAAATGCTAATACAATGCTATTTGCTCAAACCAAATCTATTTGTTGACTTGACAACCGCTATGAACAATTCAGTCAGTCAGATTTTTGTAAACCAGTCCAACTGATTCATTTAAAAGTTCTGATTCCAAAAAAATGATTTGTTCAAAAATCAACATTGCTACTGTACTGTACTGTACTCATAGCCCAACCCAGAAGGCCATTCTTATGTGTTTGTAGCGGTTGTTGATTTAAGATTACAATAAGGTCTTTAAGATATTACCTCAGATTTCAAATTTTGAAGCAGCTTATTTTTTAAATGTTAGTTAAACATTAGTTAGATATTTCTGAATAAGGACTTCAGCACATAAACTTTAATTAGAGTTTGTGTCCATGCTGTAACATACCGTATGCTCCCCTTTACAAGTTACTCAGGATTAAGTGAGTGATGAAAACTGGGTGATATGTTTTCTGTGAGTCTATTTGTGAGCCTCTAAACAATAATATAAGTCTAAATCTAAATATAAGTCTACATTGAACAATACTAATCAATTAATATATACTCATTTTACACTTAAATAATTAAACAATATTTTAATGAAAATGCTAATACAATGCTATTTGCTCAAACCAAATCTATTTGTTGACTTGACAACCGCTATGAACAATTCAGTCAGTCAGATTTTTGTAAACCAGTCCAACTGATTCATTTAAAAGTTCTGATTCCAAAAAAATTATTTGTTCAAAAATCAACATTGCTACTGTACTCATAGCCCAACCCAGAAGGCCATTCTTATGTGTTTGTAGCGGTTGTTGATTTAAGATTACAATAAGGTCTTTAAGATATTACCTCAGATTTCAAATTTTGAAGCAGCTTGTTTTTTAAATGTTAGTTAAACATTAGTTAGATATTTCTGAAGGACTTCAGCACATAAACTTTAATTAGAGTTTGTGTCCATGCTGTAACATACCGTATGCTCCCCTTTACAAGTTACTCAGGATTAAGTGAGTGATGAAAACTGGGTGATATGTTTTCTGTGAGTCTATTTGTGAGCCTCTAAACAACGTAATATTGCAGATAGTACTGCCAAATCTTCAAATAGAGACACTGAAGCAGCTGCCAGTGTTTCCACTGTCCAAATAATCCTTCTGTGCCCTTCACTGATGTTTTAGGCAACAAAGAATCGTCTGTCGGACAATACAATAAATGTAGAGATGAGCTATAAACAAAACACTTTCTGAATAGAACTTGAAAGCAAACTTTGCGGACTTTGCACATTCTTCAAAGCAAATGAAATGTTTCAGTTTACACATCACAGCAGGATTCGACCACAGCACATGGGCTTCACTAATTAATCACTCAGAAAAAAAAGACTCATTCTGTGCCTTTATGAAATGCCTGAAATGAAATGAAAAGTGACCTAGTTAGGGAACAGTTTGGTTAAAAATGTACCCATAATTCATCACAAAACAAAAAAGCTGATTAGTATTAATTATTTGTGCTCACATTTCTTAAAGATTATTTTAAGTGATTCATTTGATTCTGATCTTCAGTAATAAGTAATTAATCTTCAGTAGAAGTAATCAGTACTTCTATCAAGAAATGTTCAAAATATTTTGAGTACTTGCACAAATGACTATAGAAGTACAAAAGTGAATGATTAATCACTCAGAAAAAAAAGACTCATTCTGTGCCTTTATGAAATGCCTGAAATGAAATGAAAAGTGACCTAATTAGGGAACAGTTTGGTTAAAAATGTACCCATAATTCATCACAAAATTCACCAACACTGACATATACAAAAATCTGTAATTGCAAATATATTGACAAATATAGCATTCCCTTAAATTATATAACATTTATCACACCTATTAAATGCAGTGTTGTTGTTAACAAAATAAAACTAATAAAAAAAATGTGTTCATAGAAATAAAGCTGAAATTAAATAAATAGTAATATATTAATATAAAATACTAATATACATAACAAATATTAGCTAAGAAATTTTATTTAACAATTTTTTTTGTTGCCTTGGCAACTAACTGAAATAAAGTATATTTAATCTGAAGTACTAAAAAAATTTAAGCTAAATATAAATATAAAATAAATAATAAAAATGACAAAAACACAAATTACTTTAACTTAAAGGGGTCATATGATGCGATTTCATGTTTTCCTTTAGCTGTTTGTGCATAAAGAAGATCTGTAAAGTCGCAAAGACTAAAATCTCAAACCAAAAGAGATATTCTTTATAAAAGTTAAGACTCGTCCACGCCTTCCAAAAACGCCTCGTTTAAACACGCCCCCACATGTCTACGTCACTGTGTGGGAAGATTTGCATAACACCACCCAAATGTATACGCAAAGAAAAAAAGCGGAACTTTTATTCTCGCTGTAGTATTGTTTGTATAGTATTGTATAGTACTGTAGTGTTCACGCTGTGTGTTTCGTTGGGAAAGCCAAACTACTTTGTTTTGCCTTCCAACAGAGGACACAACTAGAAATCAGTGGTTAAGTTTTATTTGCAACACTGTTCCAGAACAGTACAACCCAAATATTTGAGTGTGTGCAGCGCATTTTACAGAGGAAAGTTTCCTGAACCTGGCAAGGGGCATACCATTTCCGTCACACGCTTGAGGTATTCGGCCAATCACAACGCACTGGATAGCTGGCCAATCAGAGCCCACCTTGCTTTTCAGACCGCTAAGCTTTGTAAAAATCGACGCGTTTCAGAAAGGCGGGGCATAGAGGAGAAACAATAATGTACAGTATGTGGAAAATAATGCATTTTGAACCTTAAACCGCATAAACACATTGCATTTCACCAAATACACAAAATAATGTTTTTTTAGCAACGTCATATGACTCTTTAAACTAAAATATAAAAATAAAATAAAATTCTAAATATTCACAAATAGAATATTATATAAAATACATATATTAGTAAATATAATACTATATAAATAATATTAAAATAATACAGATTAAATGCAATGGTCACTTTGTTTTTCTGATATTACTTGCTACTAATGAGACCTAATTATATATATTCAATATATTAAAAATGTAATAAGTGACACGACACAACACATTCAAATGTTAGTAGTACTAAAATATAAATAAAAATAAAAAATATATATATTTATCGTCTGTTAGCCATACAAAAACTCTAAGTTTCTCAGCAGTGCAGCACTAGTGTTGAAACAGGAATTTTATAGGCTCGGATGGCTCTGACTAACTGAATGGGACATTTATCTGCATACAATTCTAAAGGAGAGAGAGCAAACTGTGTTCCTCTACTCCTCTCTTGCCTGCATCTCACCGTCCAGGGGAGTGACAGCTACTGCTGCCACTGAGCCGGCTGTGCAGCCAGCCACGAAAGACTGCAGGAAGGGGGCCCGCTCCTGGGGGTTGCTATGGCGATCCTCAGTGCGGCCCACGGCGTTGAGGTTGGCGAACAGCGGGAAGTAGATCATGGAAAATGGGACGTCCCTGAACAAAGAACAGACATAGAGCCATAGAATGTAGACATAGCTGCAGGACGTTATTGATGAATCGTGATTGATCACTGTGTCTGATTAGTTTTAGTCTGTAAATGTAAAACGTGAAAGTGTGATTGTAGAAATATGATTTAGGTTGTGTAAGCCGCAGATGAGAGACAAACAGATTGAGATAGATTGAGTTTTCATTAGAATTCCATTAAGAAGAGAATTCCGCCAACAGTTAATTAGAAGCTATGAATAACAGATCAGAACTGACAGCTGGCAGGTTACATCAGTTCAGCTGGGATTACATCACAGTCTGCAGCGAGTCTGCGGGGGAGGGGCTGTACGGATAGGTGAGTGGGTTTATTTGTGTGGGAGGTGTTAAAGGTGAAAGGTCACCGTGATGTATATCCATCCTTTAGTAAAGTCTGAGAGAGAGCAATCACTTAAGTTAGTTAAGACAGCACGTCACTGAAGATTTGCTAAAGATCTGGATGTTGATCGGCTATCATAGCTTAGTTATTTGACTTAAAGGGAGAGTTCACAAATCCATTCAGATTCTGATATTATTTATAATGGGTGGCATGTCGTCCGAACCTTCATGACTTTCTTTTTTCTACAGAACATAAAAGGTGCATTTTTAAAGAATCTTTAGGCTTCTTTTAGAATATAATGAAAGTGAATGATGATTGGGCTCTCAAAAGACATCAAAGAATTTCATAAAAAATGTCCATATGGCTCATGCACTATATTGTAAGTCAGACAATACTTTGATGAACAAACCAAAAGTTAAATTGTTTTTCTATTAAAATCTTCAGTAAGGATGTCACGAATGAAGGCCCATTCACACCAAGGACGTAAAACATCACAACTTCCACAAGTTCCACATCACAACTATAATGATAATGACACAGAGGAACAATATAATTGGAATTACTTTCAGAGCTATTTTTTCCATTACTTTCAGAGCCTTTTTTTTTTTTTTTTTTTTTTACAGTTGTTGAATGATAAAAACAACTTCTGTATATTGGTGTAGATACTAATATAGTTATCTTTATAGTGATTATTCTTCATGTGAACAGGCCACCATGAAATTGACAATTCTTTTTTTATGGAATATTGCTGTGTTTATTATAAATCATTTATCCATGCACAACATTATTTTTCTAAATTCAATCAAATCAATTCCTTATGAACAAATCAAGTCCTGCGGTACATTTTTTCTCCTTCAAGGAGCCATTTCACTTGGAAATACAAATACATAGAGAAAAAAGGATGACCGCAACTTCCGTCTTATGAGTCTGATCTTTGCAATTCATTTGGTGATCCAGTTTACAAAACTGATTTGAATGACTTATGCACAGATCAGACTGTTTTAATTCTTGAATTCTATTCAATTAACCAGTCATAGTGGTTAATTGCTCACCGGAAATCAGGGTTGCCAGGTTTTCGTAACAAAACCCGCCAAATCGTTACTCAAATCTAGCCCAAAACTAGCCCAATTGCGTTTCGAGGGGGGCTCCCCGGTAAAAACCGCATTCCGGGGGGTAAAATACACGTTTTTCGGCACTTCCGTCTTATGAGTCTGATCTTTGCAATTCATTTGGTGATCCAGTTTACAAAACTGATTTGAATGACTTATGCACAGATCAGACTGTTTTAATTCTTGAATTCTATTCAATTAACCAGTCATAGTGGTTAATTGCTCACCGGAAATCAGGGTTGCCAGGTTTTCGCAACAAAACCCGCCAAATCGTTACTCAAATCTAGCCCAAAACTAGCCCAATTGCGTTTCGAGGGGGGCTCCCCGGTAAAAACCGCATTCCGGGGGGTAAAATACACGTTTTTCGGCGGGGATCCTCCAGTAAAATTCACATTCCAGAGGCTAAATATCACGTTATTGTGGTCGCTTCAACCCACGGACATGAAAAACAACCTCACTGTATGTTCAAAATCTATCCTTGTTCCACTGTAGAAACAAAGTCATGCAGGTCTGGGGGAGTAAATGATGACAGGATTTTCATTTGTAAGTTAATTATTCCTTGACAACATCAAAAATATTCCTTATAGTCCTTGGTCAAATAGGTGATTGTGTCTTACCTCATCAGTGTAGCACCAGCTCCCTTATAAAGACCCCTGAGGCCCCGAGTCTTAAGTAGCTCCAGGGTGATACGGGTCGCTGAGGATCGAGGAGGGGCATTGGTGCCCGGCTGTGCTGCCTGAGAGGCAACCAGTGAAGGGGTCGAACCAGCGGCAGAGGCAGCGACAGTCCTCTGAGCAGCTTGTAAAGACAAAAGTGGAGAGGTTACAACTCATATCTTCAATATCATCTTTATATTTTTTTCGTGTATATCTTTTTTTCTTCTTTATATTTTATATCTTGTAGTGTAATAAAACTGAAACTGCTGTTCGGTGGACACCATTGTACTCAAACAGCTTATTTCTGGCTAACCTTTGTACTTAGTGAGGCATCCTAAGATAGAGACCCACATACCTTGGATGACACTCATGGGAGCATAATAAACACACTTACCCAACCTGCCAGCATCCTGCAATTGTATTTTTAGCATCTCCATGGGGGTGGTGACTACCACCTGACAGGTTCCGGCTCCACAGCCCGCAAGGATTTCCCCCCACAGAGGTAATTTTCTGTGGGTGACAGATACAATGACAGATGTGGCAGATGAGACATGATTATTATTGCATTTACCAAAGAAATAATTGCTTGCATTAGTCCGCAGGTGACCTATGTGGAATAGCTTACAGATAATGTTTTCTAAGGTCTTTGTTAAGAACCACAATAAAAACTCTGACAGAGTTGCTTACAGTGTTTTCTCAACACCGCTACTGAATCCACAGACTCTACTGAGACATTTCTTTACAGCTAATGAGAAACATCCAGCGCGGTCCAACTCTCGAACAAATTACTCTAATTAGCCCATTCTTTTTAGTGAATCGGAAACATACAGTGCAACCAGTGCAGTTCGATTCCTAAACAAATTACTCTTATGAACTGATATGTTTTAGTGACTCAGAAACATACAGCGCAACCAGAGGGGTCCAATTCCTGAACAAATGTCTCTAATGAGTCAATTCTTTTTAGTGAATCAGAAACATTCAGCGCAAACAGAGCGGTCCGATTCCTGAACATATGAATCTAATGACCTGATTATTTTTAGTAAGAAACATACAGCGCAACCAGAGGGGTCCGATTCCTGAACATATGACTCTAATGAGTCAATTCTTTTTAGTGAATCAGAAAGTTCAAAATATCTCCTTTTGTGTTCTACAGTAAAATGAGAGTCATACAGGTTTAGAACAACATGAAAGTAAGTAAATGATGACAGAATGTTCATGTATATGCGTATTATTCCTTTGATTGTAATAATGTGCCCATTCTTTTCAGTGAATCTGAAGCATACAGCGCAACAATGCGTCCCGATTCACAAATGAATCAATACTTTTAGTAAATCAAACACATGCTTTCAACATACTGTGAGATTTAAATCAGTATAGCTTTTTTAGACAAATATCAGATGTGGGAGTGTTGCGGAAAAAATGCTTGCTTTTAGAAATGGTTCAAAAATGGAGGTTACCCATCTTTGGAGAGCTTCTGTCTGAAGACATCATTGGCAGCCAGTTTGATGGCTTTCTCTGGTGTGACCAGTGTAAGATTCACAGCTGCACCTGAGAGAAACACAGTGAAGTGAAATTCTCAGAATATAAACAAAAGCAACATATACCAGAACCTGTCAACAATTAAAACTATTAAAATTTCAAATAACACTGTCCTCACCAGGAATGTGCAATAAGGTGGGAAATTAAATTTTGATTTTAAAACCCAAGTTGGCACTGTAGACAAGAAAAGAAACGTCATACCTCGATACATGCCAAAGTAGCCCTCCATTTTGATCGTTTTTGCCAAACAGTCCAACCTTCATAACAAGACAGAAATGTTCTGCGTGATTAATTAAATACTCCAATCTGGTTATGAAATATGCTAACTGAAATGTAATGATTTGTTCATTCAAATGCAAAAAATTAATTCACAATTCATTCAAATGCATTGTAAAGTGTTTGTTAACTAGAATTAAAACAACCAGAATAAACCATGTAAAATCTCTTAAACAACAGACACCAAAATGCTCTCCATGTCTGTGTATAATGAACAGCCAAATTAGACATTCACAAAGAATTCTTAGAAGAGTAATGTGTGGAAGAAAGAACTTAAAACATAGCAGCCTGTCTCTTGCCCACAAACCACTTGGGTATTTGCTTGTTACATAAGTGTACGAAGAAGAAAAGAGCCCCTTACGGACCATCACTACAAAGAGCACTTCTCTTTATCTCAATGGTATCGCACATGCATAAAGAGCAAGCTACTTAAAAAGTAAAAGAGCAAGCTACTTAAAGAATATTCGGAAGCATGAACAGATCAAGCATGCAAAAGCATGCGACTCAAGTTGTTTTGCATCATCTGAGTCATTCAGTAAAATCGAGACAAAGTCCTCCACCCAGAATAAATCACTAACACATGCTGCCTTCATGATTCACTTTGAGTGAAACCATAAACAGTTGTTTTTTAGATGCAGAAATGTTTTTAAAAATTGTAAAATAAAGTGCAAAAAAACAAGTACACACAGGACCATTAAAATGAAAGAACTATTTAATAATCAAAATAATCGTTTTCCACAATAAATAACTTTTTTGTGCAGTGGAAAGTTTCCATGAATGTTAAAGGTTCTTAATGCAACCATAGATGCCAATGAAGAACCTATATTTTAAAAATGCACCTGCAAAACAAGAGACCCCAAAACAAAGTGGGGGACATGTAATGCAGCATAGTTATGGGACCTCATAAAGATGTTGAACTCACATTCCACTATAAACACGAGCACCCTGCTGATTTTGGAGGCGGGTCTTGGCGAGATCAATGGGAAACACGCAGGTCACACCCACCAGTCCAGCCACGCCCCCGTTAATCAGCTTAGCAGGGAGGCTGTGAACACCAGGAAACACACACATGCAGGACAAAAACATGTCAATATAACGACTTATGGATCTCAAATGATATATAGGACATCATTGGAAAATTTACCTAAATTTCTTCTCTGCCATTTTGGCCACACTTTAACTGATTTCCTCCAATTCTTCTCTCTCTGCTGCAAAAGTTTCAGGATAAACGGTCCACGGCTCACCCAGCCTGCCTTCTGGCACGGCGTGCTGACCTTCACACCCTTCCCTTTAGGGAGAACAGCCACTCTTTGGTAAATATAAATCACCTTGAAACTTGCTAAGACACAATTGAAATACAATTCAGGACATCTGTGATGACTTTTTAGTATAACATGCAATATTTCTGCAATAAAAATAGACTACATTTGTTTTACCATCACTGATTTTACTTTCTGCTTTTCTCAGGCCCAGAATCACATCACTGAGGGTGCTTCGGTCGCCGTGATTTTGCCAAGTAAGACATGTTCAGTAACACATATTTTGTTGATCCTGGATCAACATTACTGTCCAAAAATATAGACCTAACCCAATCCCTAACCTAACCTATACCCATAATTTATTCCTAAAATCAGAGGGAAATGATAGGTGAATAAGAAGGGTGTAGAAGCATCTAACCCTGATTGTAAGCCTAAAACTGACATTTCTTGAAACCTTATCCCTCAGACTTTCTGCTTTTCTCAGGCCCAGAATCACATCACTGAGGGTGCTTCGGTCGCCGTGATTTTGCCAAGTAAGACATGTTCAGTAACACATATTTTGTTGATCCTGGATCAACATTACTGTCCAAAAATATAGACCTAACCCAATCCCTAACCTAACCTATACCCATAATTTATTCCTAAAATCAGAGGGAAATGATAGGTGAATAAGAAGGGTGTAGAAGCATCTAACCCTGACTGTAAGCCTAAAACTGACATTTCTTGAAACCTTATCCCTCAGTTCTGATTGGTTGATTGGAATGTTGTTCCAGGATCAACAAGGATGTTGATCCAGGAACATGTTGTACTTGGGGAAACCACATTCACCGAACAAATATTGCTGCGGCAATTTAAACGGTGAGTGGATTCTAACTTAAACGCCTCTGATTGGCTGTTGGGTTCAAGAAATCAACAGATACGTCTGTGATTGTCTACATTGCTCAACGCTGCAAAAGATGTTAACATCACTGGATAGTTTGCCAAATCTGCAATGAAATGCCATTATAACAGCATTAACTGAGGGTGCTTGGCACCCTCTAGCACCCCCGTAGAACCGGGCCTGGCTTTTCTACAGTGCACAAACAGAGAACATCCTCCCTCCTAAAGTCTCTCTAATCTCGCTGCTAATGAGGTTGTGACCTCTTGAATTAATCTAGAGAAGAGAGCTAACAGGTGAGGGGCTTATCAACATGACTTCCTGTTCTTCAACACAGTATCAACAACATCATTTGTAAAAAAAAAAAAAATGTAAATATAGATGTCTACAATAGATTGTGCTCTCTAAGTTTTTATTGCCTACATATATAATACTAAAGTCTTATACATCAAACTTTTATATTAGTATATCAGTGTTTTTAGTTTTCTAGAGCAGAATGATGTAGTGTAACCCTTATTTGAGTAGTTGACACATAAAATGTCTCTGTCTTTTATTCTAGATTTACCTGTGAAAATGTATATATGTATAAGGAAATGTCTATACCTTCCTGTAAAATTTTTTTACCACTTTATTTATATTGCTCACTTTAAATGGTTCTGCAGTTTGACAAATATATATATTTAAATATTTAAGGTACTGCTTTATAAAAAGGTTCATTGGTTAATGCATTAACTCACAATGATCTCTGTTAATGTTAGTTAATAAAAATACAACTGTACATTCTTAGTTCATGTTATCTCAAGACCTTTAATTAATATTAAAAGATACAATTACTGATTTTAGTAATGTACTATTAATTGTTGAAATTAACAATAACCAAAATTAATGAAAGCTTTAGAAGTATTTTAATTGTTAATTCATGTTAAATAATATAGTTAACTAATGTTAGCAAATGAAACCTTATTGTAAAGTGTTACAATAATTTTAATATTCTCAAATAAGGGATATAAAGCTGCATACATAAATAGTATATTTAAAATAGTTCTGAATGGAAGTCATTCCACTGAAACCAGTTGAAATTTTGTCAAATACTCATTACTGCAGGAAAAATTGCAGGATTTCTTTACTATTTTTCTTGCTTTCCCTTTTCCTTCACTTGTCCTAAAGTCCCCCTTTTGTAACCTTTCTCTTTTCTCGTGTATGTTTCCATTAATTCTCTCCTCATTTGGGGTACTATTCTTACTTTCACCCCTCTATCTTTTTTCCTCCTGCATACTGACATCCTCCCTTTTCTCTGTCCCTCTCTCTTCCTCTCGCTCTGTCTTTTCTGGAGCCCAGTGGCATTCTGAGCATGCCTTTCTCTTCAGCACTGCTTTCTTTCAACCCTGCTCTATTCATACCACTCCACTGCCAAAACATAGACAAGTGAGATCTGGCCCCCCTTCCCGATCCTTAAGCGCTCCCTCACAAGTCTTTCCACAACTACCCCAAACAGATCCCCCTCACGCAAGCCTGCATATTTGACCAATTCACAAGTTAGGAACTCTGTTTGAGAGGATGATTATCATGTTCTTACCTCTGTCAGTGTATTGACCGGGCAGATCAAGCTGTCCACTTCCCCCCTCTGCACGCTGACAATGAGTGCAGCAGCCGTAGTCAGGCACAAGAGATCCGACAGAGCCAGCCGCCACTCAGGGGCCGTTGCATAAACACAAGCATTGTCCCTCCGTGTTTAAGTCCCTCCCTCTTGTGGCGACTCCCAGTGACATAGACAAGGAACGAACAGCTTTCCACTAATGAAACTTGACACACATTCACACATATAAGCTCAACTTCATCTCAAATTACAAAAAAAAAAAAGACAAAAAATATTATATGAACATAATTATATTAAAAATAAATAAAAAAAGTTATGAAATTAGAAATGTAACAGTCATTGCATCCATTATCTGCTACATCCACAGTTTTGACTACCAAATGATTATTGATGATCATAATGAAACAAATACATATTGATGATCATTTGTGTTGCTGTAACAAACCAAAATGCCATAATTCACATAAAATGTTACAGACAGACAGACAGACAGACAGACAGAAGCTTTAGAAGTATTTTAATTGTTAATTCATGTTAAATAATATAGTTAACTAATGTTAGCAAATGAAACCTTATTGTAAAGTGTTACAATAATTTTAATATTCTCAAATAAGGGATATAAAGCTGCATACATAAATAGTATATTTAAAATAGTTCTGAATGGAAGTCATTCCACTGAAACCAGTTGAAATTTTGTCAAATACTCATTACTGCAGGAAAAATTGCAGGATTTCTTTACTATTTTTCTTGCTTTCCCTTTTCCTTCACTTGTCCTAAAGTCCCCCTTTTGTAACCTTTCTCTTTTCTCGTGTATGTTTCCATTAATTCTCTCCTCATTTGGGGTACTATTCTTACTTTCACCCCTCTATCTTTTTTCCTCCTGCATACTGACATCCTCCCTTTTCTCTGTCCCTCTCTCTTCCTCTCGCTCTGTCTTTTCTGGAGCCCAGTGGCATTCTGAGCATGCCTTTCTCTTCAGCACTGCTTTCTTTCAACCCTGCTCTATTCATACCACTCCACTGCCAAAACATAGACAAGTGAGATCTGGCCCCCCTTCCCGATCCTTAAGCGCTCCCTCACAAGTCTTTCCACAACTACCCCAAACAGATCCCCCTCACGCAAGCCTGCATATTTGACCAATTCACAAGTTAGGAACTCTGTTTGAGAGGATGATTATCATGTTCTTACCTCTGTCAGTGTATTGACCGGGCAGATCAAGCTGTCCACTTCCCCCCTCTGCACGCTGACAATGAGTGCAGCAGCCGTAGTCAGGCACAAGAGATCCGACAGAGCCAGCCGCCACTCAGGGGCCGTTGCATAAACACAAGCATTGTCCCTCCGTGTTTAAGTCCCTCCCTCTTGTGGCGACTCCCAGTGACATAGACAAGGAACGAACAGCTTTCCACTAATGAAACTTGACACACATTCACACATATAAGCTCAACTTCATCTCAAATTACAAAAAAAAAAAAGACAAAAAATATTATATGAACATAATTATATTAAAAATAAATAAAAAAAGTTATGAAATTAGAAATGTAACAGTCATTGCATCCATTATCTGCTACATCCACAGTTTTGACTACCAAATGATTATTGATGATCATAATGAAACAAATACATATTGATGATCATTTGTGTTGCTGTAACAAACCAAAATGCCATAATTCACATAAAATGTTACAGACAGACAGACAGACAGACAGATAGATAGACAGATAGACAGACAGATAGATAGATAGATAGATAGATAGATAGATAGATAGATAGATAGATAGATAGATAGATAGATAGATAGATAGATAGATAGATAGATAGATAGATAGATAGATAGATAGATAGAGGCCTAATGGTTAGAGAGTCAGACTTGTAACCCAAAGGTCGGGGGTTCGAGTCTCAGTACTGGCAGGGATTGTAGATGGGGGGAGTGAATGACCAGCGCTCTCTTCCACTCTCAATACCACAACTGAGGTGAGACCCTTGAGCAAGGCACCGAACCCCCAACAGCTCCCAGAGTTGGGTGCCATAGCAAAAATGGCTGCCCACTGCTCTCTGTCTGTGTGTGTGTGTGTGTG